GAATCAGGCAGAGGTCACAGAGGTAAGAATGAAGAAGATGCATGGTAGAGAGAAAAGTATCACAGCCCAAAAGGTCTCAACAACAGAGAAACTAAATAAGCAGGGACAAGACGAAAAACTCTGGCCATGATATTAAAAAGGACTGACTGGAGATCTACAGAAAAACTATTGGAATCACAGTGTAGGGCTTCAAATGGGAGATGAAGAGAGAATAAGCAGTGAAGGAGATGGGTACAAAAAAACAAAGTCAGGACAATTTATCATTAGAGAGTGTTACTGGAGACAGGAGATAAACCACCCCAAGTAGGTAGAAGGGACTCCATGAATTGGAAATCCAAGAACATCCATAAATTATGACAAAGGAATCCTAGATTTCAGGAGAAAGAGGCATTTGAGAGTGGGAACGAGTCTTATCCAGGAACATATTAACATGGACATGTATCTCTGGAAAATAAGAAAAAAACAAAAAATCCTCACTGTGAGAGACATGTAGTAAGATACAGGAAAAATAAAAAACATAAGAAAAAGGGAAAATAAAGAACAAATCTGAGAAATCAAATACATAAAGAGATTTAGAAGAGAAACATTGTCCTCAATAGGTAAATAGGGGCCTAGTGCAGACCCAGGAAGTAGAAAAAAATGATCAAAGTCACCATTTTCACGACCAGGTCCAGAAAGAGGATATGGCACTTTAGATGCAGGGATAAGAAAATGAGGCAAGGAAGACATCAAAGAACCCACTGCACAATGAAATATGGCAGTAATGTCTTCAACAGTTAATGAGACTCCAGTAGCCACAAACAAAGTTGGGATAGTGTTAGCAACAGTACCAGAACTCGGGAAGAGGTAGTAGTAGATGACACTTGAGAATTCCTGGTCATTGTAGCAATTCTTCAGATCAAAAATTTTTTTTTATTTATTTAGTGGTGATATAAATTTAGATCCAGGTTAAAACAAACAAAAAGGAAACCAAAGAAAGTTAACACTGTGAAAAGGAAGCACAAATCTCATGAAATTGAATAAGTTTAAAACTCAAAGAAACATGTCCATTAAAGACAGTGCCAAGGATAAGAATAAAGTTAATTTTGAGTGCAAGTGCTTATGGTGATTTGCTGTGTATGGAGGATCTTTTACCCTCCTGTTGGTGGAGGTTTTCTGTATGATGTTTACATCATGTACTAGCACAGTTCATGTTATAACATGCGACTTAGGTGGGAGACAACTCAAGGCTTGTGGCATGTGCAAAATCTCAAAGGCAAACACACAAGAAAAGCTAAGCTATGCAGAGTGGTAAGTCTATCATTTTGCAACATTAAACACAGTTACACAACAATCTCTCTTTCCTGAATATTCTTCTACTTCAATTATTGCAAGCACATCTTCACTATTGGTTACAAAATAATCTAAAACTGCATCCCTCTGATTAGCTCTCTGACCATTTGATACAAAAACTTCTCCTGAATCACTTCAAGAAACTTCTCTCCCTCACTAGTTGACTGCATAAAATTAAAGTATCCCATTACTATTGAATCAGTGTTTTAATTAGTAACAACCCTGATCTCATTATACAATTTCTTACTGACTACATTAATCTGATCAGGCAGCCTTTAACAATTACAAATTAAGTACTTTCTACCCTGATCACAGTACTGTAGATTCAACCTCTTCACTATAATTTTTTATATCTTCATTCCCAACATAATGCAGTTTATCCCTTACATAAATAGCTATCCCAACCCTCTTTTAAAATTTCTGTTACTATTAAATAACTTATAACCTGAAATTTCAAAATAATTCCTTTTATCAGTACTCTCCAAATCCAACCAAATTTCAATAGTTCCCCTTATATCATAGTGTTCCATTTCACTTAAGACCTGAATTCATCCATTTTGTCATTGTTATTCCTAATGTTATGCTGTAAATCCTCATTCCATAGCATTCTTACCAGTTTGTTTATTCCCAATTTCTCAAATTTCCTCACCATTATGCAAGCTTAAACTGCTTTTAAAATTTTTATTAAAGCTTACCTTAACATCTTTCTACTAAACCTGCTTTAGTGGAGCCCAACTCTAGTATATGATGCACTTTTACCCTGAAAGACATCCCACAGGTCCAATCAGCCCACCTGTTGCTCTAAGCATATACTTGATAATCTTTTTTTATGCCTTACATCTCGCAAAGTAATAGATTCCTGCATTTAGTGTGAGGAAACACTCACAAAATGACAACAAATATATTTCTATCCTTTGTGAGATAGCAAATTATACTTTTATTTTGTCATGGTTTTCTTTACCTTTTATTGTTTAGCTCAACTACAAATTTTTAGTTATATTAAAGTGCTTACTCACCTTCTAGCTAGAGCATGTTGAAGTATGTTTGTATTACAAAACTGAAACAAGCTTCCACTAGCAGTGACATACAGATGTTAATGTTGTGAAAGATTATGTAAATTAACTAGTCACATGAAATGTAACCTCATGGTCTAACCACTAAATAAAAAATACTGCCTTGAGTTTAAATGAGTTAGTTCACAATATTTAGTTAAAATGAATTATTGCTGATTGTCACTCCATAGTGCTATTGATTTTGAAATGATTTCATTTTGGAATATTGTGTTTTTTTTTTGGAATTATGTTTTTTCTTCTGGTTTATTTTCCTCATTCCTTTATTTATTGAAATTAATAACATTGATATTTATGTTGTATTGTTCATTACCAATTGTATCAAGTCCTGGCCAGGCATGGATTTATTAACTGTGTTTTCTTTTTTGTAAGTGATAAAATTTGTATTCCATTATTTTGAAAGTTTAGTTTTGGATTTCCGTGGTTGTAAAAGTTTAACAAATTATTTTTTTGTTCTACTCTGATTGTAGTGGGGTTTTGTTTTTATCCATTATACCCTAAACTTTTGAAGTTTGTTACATTTTTAAGCAGTTCTTTTGATTGACAACTTCCAATATCATTTGCTACTATATGCACTACAAAAAGAGAATGCTCCTTTGTTCCAGCAATTAAACTGTCAATATGCTCTGTAATATCCTCTACTTTAGTACCTGGCAAGCAATTTTTATTTCTAGTCTTTCTAAGCTTCCCACTACAAATAATTTTACCAGTATATTTAATCAAGTTAATGAAGTAGTCCCCCACATGTAGAACTCTTGATTATCTCCTTTTTCGTTGCATTACTCTTATGATCACTATACTATGTGCTATTCAAAAGATTAATATATTTTCCAATAACAGTTAATTTACTGAAGTAATCATCATCACTGAACCTGAGAATTATACAGTGACTGTAAATTAGTCTGACAACTTATTTTATGGGTGAACAAGTTACTTGGAATTTACCATTCATCTATTCCAAGCACTAGAAGTAGAATGTGTGATACAACATATCAGTTATCACAATACTGTACAAACTATTTATACTTTATCAACCTCATAATTAGTTATAATTTTCCTATACTGAAAATGTATTTCCAATAGATATACTTACCCCTTCTCACAGATATAGCTATACTGCCCTCTATATGCACTGGGAACTGACATCCATGTGGGTTTAGGATGAGGGATCCCAATCGAAGAGGTGAAGTGCAATTTTGGTAACTCACTCCAGAGCTACAACATCCCCTCAGAGATGGAGCATTAGAAACGAGAACATCTCATCATCTACGCCACCAGAACACCAGCACCCTACTCTCAACTGAATGGTTTCATCATTAAATGTATCATCTATCATTATCACATTCAGGAGGATGCCTCCATGGTTGACCACCCCAGCAGCTTAGAACTGGAGAGTGGTAAGAAGGGTAAGAACATGCATCAGAAGGGTGTGTCAAACTCTTATGGGTGGAGGGTTGTCGGATGATGATTTACGTGTGAGATGCAATTGAGCCACGTTAATTATGATGTACGTGGGAGCTCAAGCCTTGTGACATGAGAAAGCACTTTTGCATATAGAGGGCAACACTGAACAAGAATGGCTATATCTGTGAGAAGAGGTAATGTACTGTATCAGAATTTATATATTGTTGTACTACTCAGTATACTAAGATGTCTCACTCAGAAGTTATTTATTTCATCCACTGCAGTATTATAGCATTCAAATTGTATTCCATTTAAACATTTCACATGTAATTAATAATAATGGTACTGTGCATGTCATCTAACAACATTGTCAGAGGACATGCCAATGCAATACATTTTTGAATGAAGTTAATGAAACTATTGAGCAGTATATTTCTATGTATAATAACTTTGGCCACTCACTATACATATATTAGCCTGAGGGTAAGTTTAGGCCAAATATTCCAAGATTTACTAAAATAAACAGTAATTTGTTTGTGATTCATTGCTTAATTACTAAATTAGGCTGAAGCAGTAAAAACTGTGAAGCTAATTTCTAAAATTTTAGCCTTTACAAAGTACTATCTTCCTTTTTTTTTTAAACTGTGTATCATTATCTCCAATAGTTTAAAATTATTTATCACATTGAAATAAACTAATAATTACTGATACTGGATTTTACTTCATTTCCGATAAACATTAATATTACTATCACTGATAATATCAGTTATACTTATTGTTATACTAGCTTCTAAAGTTCTGTATGAACTTTCCCTATGGCTATACAACTTCACTACAATTAGTTTTAACTTCTTAACTTAAAATTAAAGGTTTATTCTACACCTAATACAACATAAAATTCCAATGACTAATGGCTGTGTAGACAATTCATCAATTTTAGAATCTAAGTTAAATATATAATAACTTAAATAAAAGATTTACTAAAACTAAAACTAACCTTAGACTGAAGAGTAAGAAACTTTTTCAGTTAAAATGTCCTGTCACAGACTTCGACCTAACTAAAAGTAAAACTAGTATTCTATCAGCTAATGTTAAGTAGGGCTAAAATTATTACTTCAATTACAGTACTAATAGTATTCGTATTAACTACTACTAGTACTACATAGACCAACGTAAATCTAGAAAGTTTCCTACCTTTAGTTGTGTCATCCATGATTCAAAGAAACTAAGTAAATGTGAAGATAAAAATTCACTTTACAAAAGAACAAAATATGAAAAATAGTTAACAAATCATTTTACAGATAAAAAATATGATTGAACACTGTATTTCAAACTCTTATTTTCTACTAACGCCATGTTTACAGAAATTATAACCATGATCCGGATCATGCGTGAAAAGATCGACTTGTTTACTTCCCTTTACCGCAGGCTAAATTAAATAAAATAAAAATTTGAAAAAAAAATACTCGAAGATACACACGAAGCAATATTTAATTTATTGTTTGTTAATTTTGGTGTAAAGCCAGACATTAGATTATCTGCGCTCTATCCACCATGGTAAATCGAGCCTCGGATTTTAGCGATGTAAGTCCATAAACTTACCGCTGACTCACCGAGGAACAAAAACGTAATATCTCACAAACATGGTGTTACTTTCTTATATCAATGCTACACAATGGACGATCTGCACTCTGTCCACCACGTATAATCAAACTTAGAATTTTAGCATTGTAGGTTAGTAAATTCATCACTGGTCCATCGGACAACTAATTTGTTGTTAGAAATGTATTTTGAAAATGTTAGTTGATTAGATAAAGCACTATTTGTTTGTTTTGTATAATATCACACATTAAAAATGACTGAAAATTAAATCACAATAGAAGAAGGTAAGAGCAACAAATGTATGTGACTTCAGTATATTATAATTATACAGAGTCATCTGACACAAGTATGTTATAAATGTGCATTCTTATAGATTTAAAAATGATCAAATTGGCTCCATAAGCAGAACACAAACATATATTACCATCTAAGGTCCAGTTTTGAATTTACTATTTGGAGAGACTTTCTTAGACGTGGTGCTGAAATAAGCGGGTTATTACTCAAAGGCCCACTGATAATTATGAAAGTTTTATATAAGATGAAAAATCAATAATAACAAGAACGATTTGTTTGTTGTTGAGTTTCATGCAAAGCTCCTCGAGGGTTATCTGCTTTAGCCGACCCTGATTTAGAAATGATATACTACTGTAAACTGTTGGGATACTTTAATGGGATAGTGGAATTGATAGTCATATTGCAATGTCTCCAGTACTGACAGACAAGCATATTTGGCGATTGGACTCCAACACGCAACCTGCAGATTGTGAGCCGAATACCGTACACCAGACCATGTCAGGCCGCAAATAAGAATGATAAAACAATATTTAGTTGTAATTGAAAAAAAAAAAGAGTTATTCTCAGGTATATTGATCATCTTCTAGTAGGAAGTCAATACATCTCTAACTACAGGTTCGGCAGAATAAGCATTACAGTGTCAATCTAAATTTCTAGCAGACTGAGTTGAAAAAGCGAAACTGTATAGAAGTTTGCAATAATACAAAAACAAACAAATACAACTGTTACGTCTCCGTTTGTTAATTAACTTTCCGTAACTTCGTTCCGACAAAACTTTAGCGACACAAGTTCTTTACTTAATAAAACTGGTTTATTCTTTCCGAATACAACTTTACCGATACACTCAACTTCAACAATCGCGCTAAACAAACGCTATAACAACGAACGTGCTCAATAATACTGCTGACTGCAGATCAATTACTCACTCTCTATACACACATTACCTTACCTTCACGTTGTCCCCTCTTATATATACCCGCCTACCCTATCTAGTAAATACTAGAGCATTCATGAAAAAACAAGATAGTCCTAAAAACTAGAGGGCGCCACACCAGTCACGTGACCTCGATGACG